AGGTCATTTTGACCTAACTTTCAGCAATTTATTATAAATTTTTTTATTCAAAACATAATGGCAATTTAATTTAAATTTTTAATACATTTATTTGTGAAAATCATGCAAATATGAACATCATATGTGAAAATTATAATAAAGGATAGTAAATAATGTATGTTTATTATATATGTACATTCATTTTGTATTTTTTTATGTGCAAAATAAATATTGTTTACATTAATAGCTACATAATAGGAATTACATATAGAGACGTTTATTTATTTTCTTAATAATTTTTACGAGTTCACAGTAATGCAATAATATTTACAAATTACTTAAATGATTTCGTTGCTTTCCATTTGATCTACACATTTTTATCACGATACGAAATTATGTTTATTTGTTATTAATGTTACATCGTTTCAGTTATCTCACATTGTTGACGCGAATGTTTTTCTTTCGCAGGGATCGCGATAGCAATGACTAATTCGGAGTTATCGAGCATGCGTGTCAGACAGGAAGGCCGATAGTGCGACAATGATGACCATCGCAGAAGAGACCTGTTGATGACGTTATGGGGCGGATCTATTTTGCCAGTATTTTGCTCCTCTCCTTATGCGGTGAGTGCTGATAGTGCTATCTACGAAAATCTCGTACATCATTGGCGTAAATTGTGAACATTTATATTTTTAGAACATGTATACTCCATAATATAAGTTCAGTTATATTTTCACGAGAAAAAGGACTGAGAAAGTTATACAATCGTTATATGCTTCGCAACACCGATTCAGCTTCAACACCGATTTATTTGACGCTTTTGCTTTAAGGATTCATTGAAAACGTTCGATTGCTTGTTTCCGAATATTTAGACGCTTTTAAGGAATATTGTTTCATTAACATTTTGTTACCGTCGATAGCCTAATACGTATATTTAAAGACGTGCCCGTTTTGAAACTGTTTAATTAAGTCAAGATAGTCTCTCGGCGCAGTTAAAGTTTTCTCTTCTGGGACCAATTACGTCGCGCTGAGAGCACATTATAAAGAAGTTCTGATATGGAATGGCTGTTAAAAACTGCGGTAACATTTCATATTAATGTAGATTAATTGAATGATATTGTTTAAGCGATACTTCTACTGCTAAACTCGAGTTACGTGTATTAGCCGAGATACATCAGATTTGCTGAGGCAAGAGTAGATATGGTAATACAATGGCGAACTAGATGGATTGTTGACGTTGTTCATCTTAAATAACGTATATTCACAATAGTATTATCATTTATATTTTATCGGGTGTACTGTAACTTTTATGAACGATTAAATGATGCAATTTTTTTCATTGGAGAGTTACAAAGTACGACGAAGCTGTTCTTCTTATATGCGATCTCTCTATCAAGCTGGTACGATAAAATTAATGTTTTTGTGTGACCATCAACAGGTATACATTAAAGGTGCTGTGAAAATTTCAGTGACATGTGCAATGTTCCGGGTGACATTAATTTCATATCTCTAACACTGCAAATTAGTTCTTTTTTTTACATTTCCTAGTGATTATGCATGCTAACGAACTGGCACGGAATGATTAATGTTCTGGTAAATTTATTTAAAGAATTCCAATGGCAACGATACGAATAATGCGATTGTTATACGAGAACCGCGTTTGAACGATTGTTTCGAGATTACGTTGTTTAGAAAAAAAGTATGTTGAATAAATTTGCCGGAAAACGCATCAACTGCGCTAGCAGAGATGAGAAAGCACAAACCCATCCATAAAATCAACTTAAATCAGTGTGTACACTTAAGCTGAAATTACGACAAATTGCCTGTAACGTATTAAAACGCGTTTTCTATGCTCAATTAAGTGTATACACGTTTACTGGAGACCTTATTATGTACCTACACACCTATAACTTTAGTGTCACGACGTACCACGTGACCGAACCCCACGAAGTTTATGATAACTGGGGTGGAACATTTTGGCTGTTCAACGTCACTGCAGATGTTACGCGATACAATTCGCGCGTTGGATTCTTTTCTCTGTTTCTACAAAATTCAAGCACGGATACATAAAAGCTGAGCAAAGTAAAAGAATACTTTGCAAGACACAAGACTTTCCACATTTTTATCACTGAGTCTACTATACTAGTACAGAGTGCCTTCGAAAATTCAAACATTTTTTCGTAGGTTACAAATAGAAAAAGATTTCTGAAAGTCCAATACGACGTATTAAAGTTGGTCAAATGGAAACCTTAAAGTGTCCTCACAATTGAACAAATATAAAATACGCAAAGCGATGCTATTTTTTTATATTTATTTATGTTCTTCGTCGCATACCGGTGCAGAATGTTCAGTGCCAAGAAGGTAAATGAATATCTCAAGATAAATGCGTTTCCGATGCAAGAAGTGATAATGCCGTTTCAGTATTTTCTGGTACAGTAATTTCTCCCTAATTCACGCTCAGATTGCGCACAAAAATGGACAATTTGGAAAGAGGAGATACGATTATTCGAGCCTTGCGGCTCATTTTTATAGTTACCAATTATCAACAATATGTAGAAACGAGATGCTAGGCTCGAATAATCGTATCTCCTTTTCCCAAATTGCCCATTTTTGTGCGCAATCTAGCGCGAATTAGGGAGAAATTACTGTATTAAGTCTTAAATGTGAAATGCATATTTCACTCTACAATTTTACTATAAAATCTATGCATTTTGTACTAATGACATAATACTATACCGTATGTTTATCTATTGATCAACTTTAAAGGGTTTCACTGTACAAAAAAAAAACGAATGGCTAAACGTTGTTTCCGATTGGTGCATGTTGCAGAGGGTGCCTGGATTGTTAAGTACCTTGGAACGAATTTAATATTTCTGTTTACCTAGAACTTACGAAAATACGTTACTTTGGACTTCAATTGTACTCTTAAGGTTTTCATCTGACCGATACTATTAATTATTATTAACCCTCCGTTGTCAAACTTCCTATGCGAAGTATGTATGTACATATGTAATACTGGAAATACTATCGAGACAGAAAAATTTGAGAATATAATTTGAACATTCTAGGACATGATTTTCTTTATCAGAACTCGATATTCCACTTCCAAGTACATTAAATTAATTGTTAATTGCATTCTTCTTATGACAATATCAATTTTTCGAAAAAAATGTGCGACGTCTTGATCCAGTATGACAGCGGAGGGTTAATTGAAGATACGTATTCTCATAGCAAACATGCTCACGGAACAATATATGCGGGTCATTATCTGTACTATGAACTTCTCTTATTCGAACATGTGAAGGGTGTTGAATATCCGGGTTCCGATAACAGAGATTCGCTGGCTATCTTCATTAGCTGCTCGTATTGGTCCCGATAATGGAAGCCAAGTTTCAAGAAACTGGAATTACAATTAGTTTCGATTAATGTATATTCAGTCATCGCCTTTCAGTGGTACCAATCGCGATTCTAGTGGGTCAAATGTCTCAAAAGGTTCTGTGTTATACAAGGGTGTCTCGGCATCGACAGTACAGTCAAGAAGGAAACGATTCTGCATCAAAAAACAAATCCAAAGTGAGAAATCAAATTTTTTGTTTGACGCTTCGTTGTCGAGAAAATCGACTTATATTCAGCAACATGTGTCACTTATACATAGTAGTATCACCATGTGTTTCTCATTTCCGTCTATGGATTTAGAGTGGATTTAAATAAAAATGAAACATATGATTTAGTTGCTGAGTTACTTTATTAAAGCAAAAAATGCTTGAAAATGTTGAATATTCATAGTCAATTTCCAGAAAACGAAGTCTCAAATGAAAAAATGTTATTCTTTATTTTTGATTTGTTTTTCTTTTATGTAGAATCAACATCTCTTATCTCTTTATATCTATGAAATAAATATCGATTTCAACGTATAATTTCTTAAAAGAAATCAGTGGATAAGCGGGTCGTAGAGTTAAGTGAGAACAGAACTAAACAATCAAACTGCGGCTTGTCTAATCTTTCATCTAACTCGAAACAAAATTTGATCCTTCTGTTATCGAAAAATCTAGGAATCAAAGTAAATGAAGATGCACAAGAAACTAAAACTGTCTCGATCGATTAGGGAAATTATTGAGGACGAAGAATTGCTAACCGACACACCTCTGAAAGAAATTATAATGCAAGGGATTAATAAATCCAGAAAATAAAAACTTAGACAGTACTGTATTGAAATGGTTGCATACTAACTTTTGGAGTTATGCTGCGCGAGAAAGCTCCAAACATGAACTCCAGAATACAATTTAATAGTCATTTAACGTAGAAAAACATAAGTGATCCTTCATCGACAAAACTTTGGGACATTGAAATACTACACAAATTGCAAAGTCTCGTGTTATCATTTAAATACGTGAAATTTAATGTCAGAGAAATAATTGTTCCGTTATCCGACGACTTTTGGCTCCTTATTAGTTATGATATGGGAGGCACCGGTGTTCTAGGCAACAACTTTTATTAACACCACGCTCTGCGGCCACCATACTGCACCATCCTACGTGGGTTGCCTTAATGATGGCGATCTCAGCTTCCATTCAGACCACAATTGGCAACCCCATTGCCGGAACGTACCTACTATGCGAGGATTAGCGCAAGCGATCCGTGAGCATGTCAGCTATACCTACACTTCGTGACAAAAAATTAACACACTATGTATTTCAACCGATTTCCATAATCATAGTCGAATAACAAAAGCGTTCGCGATACCAGTTTCCAGTTTGTAATAATTGCCACGTGCTCGGAAAAAATATACAGGTTGTCCCAAAATTATGATACTTCCAAGAAATAAGGAGTTCCTGAGGTCATTTGAAGTAACTTTTTCCTTAGCGAAAATGCAATCCGGGAATTCGTTTACGAGTTATTAACGAAAAACAGTGACCAATGAGAGGCGAGATCAGCTAGCGCAANATAGTCGAATAACAAAAGCGTTCGCGATACCAGTTTCCAGTTTGTAATAATTGCCACGTGCTCGGAAAAAATATACAGGTTGTCCCAAAATTATGATACTTCCAAGAAATAAGGAGTTCCTGAGGTCATTTGAAGTAACTTTTTCCTTAGCGAAAATGCAATCCGGGAATTCGTTTACGAGTTATTAACGAAAAACAGTGACCAATGAGAGGCGAGATCAGCTAGCGCAAGGCGACCGAGCCAACGAGCGGTGGAAGCCCAGTTCCACTCATTGGCTGAGCCGTCTTGCGCCGCCTAGCGCGCCTCTCATTGGTCATTGGTTTTTTTCGTTAATAACTCCTAAACAAGGCCGCGGATTGCATTTTCGCTAAGAAAAAAGTTACGTCAAATGACCCTGAGGGATCCCTAATTTCCCGGAAATGTCATAAATTTGGGACACCCTGTATAATTTTTTAACTGTCCAATAAACGAATAGATAAATCCAAAAAACGTTATTCTTTATAATATAATTCGTGCTACCCCTATTTTACGAAACTGGATTTTACTATTCCTGAATTACTATTTTACCACTATGCGGGATAAACCCGAGAGTAATTGTAGACTCGAAACTTGGGGTTGCTCGAGGTTGGACTACCGATACTAAGGGTAGTCTCGAGACTTTGGGTAAACTTGAGACTTAGGGTAAACTTGTGATTTGGGTCAACTCGAGACTGATTGTAGACTCGAGACTAGGTATTCACTCTAAATTAGAGATAGCTCGAAACGAGGGGCAGGGGGGTTGACGCGAGACTGGGAGTAGACTCGAGACTGAGGGTAGCTCGAGAATGAGGAACGTTGACGAGCCAAGATATTCCGGGCCCAGAGTGCAGGCTGCGGCCTAACAATAACTTGATCGGTGTCCATTGCTTTTTCACGCTGCTTCGGATAAATAAGTGGCGGGATTGCCGTTGCCACAAATCGGTGGTGGGGTGGGGACCTATGGACAGCCGCAGGCTGGCTCGCCAAGCACCCCGGGCCCCGGCGGTGGCACAGCTGGCGGCGGCGCGAGCAGCACCCTCGGCGCTGCTGGCGGCGGTGCCTCTGGCTCTGGCACCGGCACCGCCGGTGGAGCCGGTGCGGTTGGTCTCGGGGTTACCGGGGGGACTACTGGCGGTGGAGCCGGCGGCGGTGCCGCCGGTGGCGGTTCCGCCGCTAACAATGCTACAGTTACGACCACAGGGCAGAATCGTCGGGGCCGAGGGTGGGGCCACTGGCACCGCGGCGACCCCAGCCTCATGAGGGGACTCTGGAAGTCGAAGGGACCCTTAGGTAAACCAAAGATCACCTTATTCTATCTAGAAGAGCTATAGCGAAGTCTCGCGGTCTTGAAATCGGAACTGTGCTCCGATGACGAATTGGCTGGCGAGTGTCCGATTAGTGTCACTCTATCTGTTTGGGGTGGACGTCGATAATGAATCGCCATTCTGAAATGTTTTCAAGTTCTTCTGGTTGTGATTTGCGATCGAGCTATTCTGATGTTATTTTTATCGATCTCTTTGTGCGTGGATGCGGTAAAAATTTGCAAAGATCAGTCTCGGTTTTTTTCGTTACATATACAGAGTCAAACATGCAGTTGGATTCTTTAGTTGAATGAGAGACTTGTAGTTGGCATTAACGGAATTCTTCAAAATGACGGGTCATTAATTTTTTAATTTACGATTATTCGTATCGTAAAGATGCATTTATGAGTTATTTATACAATTTATATGTTACTTACGGCAAACGTGTTGCAATAACACTTGTTAAAAATCGGAATAAATGTCTTATTGTTACTTTCATAAACTAATACAAAACAGTTGTTTTTTGGGCCCCGTAAATCTAGTGTTAAGCGGCCTTTAATGACACTCATTAATACTTCAGTAATAAGTGACGTAGAACGTCGTACCAGTGATATGCAAGAATGCGAAGTTTATATTCATATAACGTCTATGGGTCTATCAAAATACGTGCTGCTCCATGCCATTCAACTTTGATTCACTTTATCTTTGTCTATCACCAATAACAACGGACATATTCTCTTGGCGATGTCGTACAATGGGCATTGAAGATTCAAAGAATTCGAGAATATGGATACGCTCAGTTTATTCAAATTATTACAGAACGAAAGTATTCTATTTGTTTACCAATTCGTACAACTATTACAGACAATTTTTTACCATAGTCTATTATTATCTTTCTTAATCTACTAAATCCGTATACAATAAATTCTCCCTAATTCACGCTCAAATTGTACACAAAAATAAACAATTTGGGAAGGGAAGATTCAACTATTCGAGCCTTGCGTCACATTTTTCTAGTCACCGATTCTCAACAATTATAAAAACGAGACGCAAGGCTCAAATAATCGGATCTCCTCTTCCCAAATTGTCCATTTTTGTACGCAATCTGAGCGTGAATTAGGGAGAATTTATTGTAATTGTGATACTTTTGGTAATTTGGAATACCGAAGTTAGTTCCAAATACAGTAAATTAATTCTTTCTAATTGACGTTCAGATTGTACACAAAAATAAACAATTTAGAAAGAGGAGATTCGATTATTCGACCCTTTCGTCTCGTTTTTCTAGTCACCGATTGTCAACAATTATAAAAACGAGACGCAAGGCTCGAATAATTGGATCTCCTCTTCTCAAATCGCCCATTTTTGTGCACAATCTGAGCGTCAATTAGGGAGAATTTACTGTACTACCTTCGCCACACATGGTTTCGTAATGAAACTAGCAATGATACGAGAACGTCATTTGTTGGTGATCAAACAAAACACCAGCTCGTTTCACTATGCGTGTCCTTTTCCTCCATATTTGTTTATCATTACTAACGCGACTCGTTAATCGTAGCACAGCTAGCCAAATTGTCATCTGCTCGCAGCACATCTAAATGGTACATCGATGTTTACAATGAACGTTATCGAAACTGAATTGAAATCCAAATAATTCCTCCGGCTTTCAATGGGCCTTGAGATCTCTCCAACCAAAGGTTCGACAAGTTTTCAGTGGAACGCTTGCCAATGAAGCGTGAGACGCGGCTCGATGCGCATTCAGAAAAAGTGTTCGACTTCGCTATATTTCTCTACGTTTAGTGCACATGATTGTGGGAATGACAGTGTTCTAGAATGATGGCTGCTGTTTTTCAGTTTAGCTTGTGCGATCGCATTCTGTTTCCGTCAATTTTTAGGCTGATGTATATTTTACTGAATAAGCTTTTTATGTGCCTCACACGCGGCCGCTGTTTCTCACTTTGCTTTCAAATCATTCAGAGCGTACCGAATTAGAAAAAGGAAACCGTCTGCAATTTCATGAACTCTACTTGTGACTATTAAGCAGACCTTATTGTAGTTTGGCTGAGAGTGAGTCTGGGATTCGTCGTTATCGACTACACACTAATCTCGAATATTTTAATGTTTGCTAATGATTGCTCGTTATCACTGAAAATATGATATTCCATTCGGAATTTATTGTTTAAAATCATCAATAAAATAAGGTCAGTAAATTGTAGATTATCGCGCAGTTATTACCCAGAAATATTCGGAGAAATCGATTACATAAAAAAGTAATAGAATATTATTCCTTTCTTTGTCATTTAATCTATAATTATCATTTAACCCATAAATGGTTAATAATTATCATTAAATCGCGACACAATGACCATTTCAAATCGTAATATGAAACTGATTCCTGAATCGTGACTAATTTTCTCCAAAATCGAATCAGCAACACATTCCTGCTACATTATAGTAATCGAGTAACATACGTACAGTAATTTCTCCCTAATTGATCCTCAGCTTTTACATAAAAATTGACAATTTAGGAAGAGGAGATACGATTATTCAGACGATTACCGATTTCAACAACTATAAAATCGAGCTGCAAGGCTCGAGTAATCGTATTTCCATCTCCCAAATTGTCCATTTTTGTTTTTAAGCTATTAGGGAGCTATTAGGTTTCTATTACGGAGAATTTTTTGTCCAGTAAATTCTGCCTAATCGACGCTCAGCTTTTACAAAAAAATGGACAATTTCGGAAGAGCAGATGCGATTATTCGTACCCTGTGGCTCGTTTTTATAGTCACCGATTGTCAAAGACTATAAAAAAACGAGCCGCGAGGCTCGAGTAATCGTATCACCACCTCTCAAATTGTCCATTTTTGTTTTTAAGCTATTAGGGAGCTATTAGGTTTCTATTACGGAGAATTTATTGTACAGTAAATTCTGCCTAATTGACGCTCAGCTTTTACAAAAAAATTGACAATTTAGGAAGAGGAGATACGATTATTCAGACGATTACCGATTTCAACAACTATAAAATCGAGCTGCAAGGCTCGAGTAATCGTATCTCCACCTCCCAAATTGTCCATTTTTGTTCCACGCTATTAGGGAGTTATTAGGTTTCTATTACGGAGAATTTATTGTACAGTAAATTCTGCCTAATCGACGCTCAGCTTTCACACAAAAATGGACAATTTTGGAAGAGGAGATGCGATTATTCGAACCCTGCGGCTCGTTTTTATAGTCACCGATTGTCAACAACTATAAAAAAACGAGTCGCGAGGCTCGAGTAATCGTATCTCCTCTTCCCAAATTGTCCATTTCTGTGCGCAATCTGATTGCGAATTAGGGTGAGAATTACTGCGCCTTCTAACCGATTTACGATCTGCATCACGGGCTCCCAGATTTCGTCAGTCAAACATCAATTTCGTTGATGCGCGCCTCGGTGTACACACATACTTACTTTAAATCGAAACGCTATTCACTAGTCAAGGTGCTGATGCATGCAACATCTACTTATGATTTCCAATCGGTGTAAACTACGTTGTTGGTGAAAGTAGGTTCCCCATTGACGTATCCTGGTATATCCTGGTAATTTTCTGTAAATGTCAGCGCTGATAACTACTTCGCTGGCTTGTGTATCAGATATCGAGAGACCATGCACGGACCTATTTAATCCGCGTGAAGTATACATATAGACGCGGGGAACATCGTAGTCCGCGTAGCTTCTTGTAACGTCGTTCCCTCGAGGTAACCGCCGAACTTCTTCAACAAGTTTCCTGGGTTACGGTTATAATTCATTCGCAGTACTCTAAGCTTGTGTTAGGCGGTAAATGGGGTTCACAGGGCTGACAACTTTCACCGTTAACGTCTTTAACTTCCGTTGGATCATCATATTTCACGTTTAATCCTTTATTTAACCTGTTCTGCCGATCGAATTCTGTTGTTCGCTCTTCATTTGTTAGAAAATCAATGGGTATCATCGATAATAAATACTTCGTCTGTCGACACTTCTCCTTTATTGGCTTGCATTATAAATCAACACAGTCTATTTATGCGAGTGCATTCGTAGCATTGTTCTCGATTCGGCAAAATGTTAAATAAATCCAGCTATAATGCATTCTGTGTCACTATTTATTCTTTTTACAGAGATTTCAATCGTTGCAATTCGTTTCAGAACGGATCGAACGATAACTCGCGTTGCCATTAGCATGAATAACTCTTTATCTTAACATTGTCCGTTGAGTTATTATCTATTATTGTCTTATAGAGCCAACAGGAAACGGAATACCAACAAAAGCGTTAATAATTTATTTCTACAAGGCTTCTAATAACCGAAACAAAGATTTATAAATCATTTTGTAACGAAATGCTGATATTAAACATCTAATGTTGCTCGATTAATTACATAACAATTAGGATGAGATAAGTGTCATTGTAGAAAATATTTAACATTTGGTACGCTTTGAAATTATGATGCAAGCTCGAACGCATTTGTTCCCGTTATATTTGCATTCAGCAGCGGAAGTTACGCTTTGAACGGCTTCTTACTCGGTAGTACACAGTTATGGTTTGAAAGCTTCAACTTAACAATTATCAAATCAATTTTTCCACGTTGCATGCGATACTTCGGTATAGTCGATATTGGCTGTAAACGCGTTAAAGTTATACCCAGGCCCAGAATGCGTATCGCATTTGGTGAAGTGCCCCGAAGTCATTACCTTCCCGTTAATCGTGCCGCGGATAGCGGTTTCACGAGCTTTAATTTGTAATAATCCCGAACGTTCCGCCCGGCTATCGCGTGAAACTTTTACGTTGGTTATTTTGGATTCCTGGCTTATCATGGTAAGCAGTTTCTCCGGGCGTGTCGCGCTGCTGAAACTTTTCAAGTTTATGAACTGACTTTAAAAGCAGCGGCCAGAAAGCCTTATATTGCTACACGAACTCGTAAACCATCGTCGCGGATAGTTCAATTTCTTGGAGAACCGTTCCATATGAAATTGTCGTGCGTGTCAATCTTGGATGGAATAGTAAATCACAGACCCTTTTACGCGTTCGCGGGATAACAGGGCTATCGTCACGAGCTCGATCTTTATGACCCCTTGTGTCGGCAAAAAATTTCGCGGCTGCTCAAGCAGACTATTTAATCACGATTCCTATTTCCGCGTCGAACGCGCGCGATTTTACCCACGCGAATCGATGATAATAGACCGAGAGACCTGAAAAATTCATGAATCGGATGAACAGTACGAGCCTTTTCGCTCACGCTCTCTGCATTCAAATTTCGAGATTTAACTTTCAGATCCTAGACAAACCGCGATCTTAGATCGCAGCCGTGTCCGGTGACTGGCGTTCGACTGGATTATTGGTAGTAAAAATCGCAGCCATCGGAAATATGAATGTTTCATATTTATTCTAGCGGGAAAATACGTAAGGAGGTGTCCGATTTTACGGCGCCAATGTTATAAACCGTTTCAATCCCGAATCGCCACTACATTTCTAAGTCTTTTATGCATCTCCCTAGAGAGCCTAGAATTTAATTTAATATATTTAATCGAACTCGTTTCTTCATTTGGATAGATTTTAGTACAGAATTTGTAATCTCGGAAAAGTTTCGCGCGAAAGATTCAATGATCGTAATTTTATGAATTAAAACATTTTGAAAAATGATACTTGCTTCGATTATTGCATCACCATTCATCGCTGGATATACGAGATATTAGACGCATGATTTTATAAAGATATTGTATTAGTGTATTATTTGATAGCAGTTAAACGAGAAGAACAGATCTGGCAATCGAACGCCTCACAGATGATTAAATGTTTCCCCTATTATTATGTATTGCCTTAATCAATGATGGTCAAAAGAAGATTTTCGAGATTTCGGTGGTAACGAGAAGCAAATCATAAGAATTTATACAGGGTGTTACAGTAAATTCTCCCTAACTAACGATCAGTTTGATCACAAGAAAGGACAATTTAGGAAGAAGAGATATGATTATTCGATGAGCCTTACAGCCTGTTTTTATAGTTGCTGACAATCGGTAACTATAAAAACGGGTTGCAAGGCTCGAAAAATCGAATCTCCTCTTCCCAAATTGTCCATTCTTGTGTACAATTTGAGTGACAATTAGGGAGAAAGCACGATAGTTTTATTAACATATTAGTCAATTTACCGTAGTGGAAACATGAAATATTTAGCTTTACGTCGTATTTAACTGTAAGACGGTGTAAACATTATTTGACACTAAAGGGATTATAAAAATGTAAACACTCGACTGCAACATTGTAATTACGATTTTGTAATTGTACTTGATTTAACTAGTTAGCTATTTCTGACAAGTATACTCGTTATAACAGAAAATATTGTCATTCTTTCATGACGAGTATACTCGTCGAAAACAAAGGAATATGTACTTCGAGATATTCTATATGAAATTATATACTTTAAAAGAGTGTCGTATTTAAAAAAAGAAACTATGAAGAAAATCAAATATATACAGCACAGTTACGGTAACTTGTAGTGTATTTTTTTTCATTTTTTTGTCGTGTGTTTACATTCAGCAATCTTTTCAGTGTCAAATAATGTTTGCACTATTTTAACACATTCGCAAAGGAAAAGAAATCTCGTTTTTACCCTAATCTAAAATAAAACTATCTCGATGTGTAAAAGTCAAATACGACGAAAAACGAAATACTTCACCTTTCCACTACTGTAAATCGACTAATATGATAGTAAAGATATCATATAATGTGTTTTGAATTCGTCTCGATATCCCCTACAATATGGTAAAAAAAAAATGAATACGTGTTCCTATTAGTAATTAGTAATTTCGCCATGAAAACAGGCAGTTTCCATATCCTGCGACACCCTGTATAATTTTAAAGTCAAACAAGAAGAATGAACGAAGAAATAACTATCATCACAGTACTGGACTATAAATCATCATGCTTTTGTCAGTATAATCGTGACAGTCAGAGTAGTCAACATATTTCATTGTTCACTGGCGAGTACCATTATCGAGGAAACGAAAGTTTTATCCCGATTCAGGATTCGTCAAATTTGCTTAAAAATACGAGGACTTGCATGAAGCTTCGCAGTCTAGTTACCACTGAACAACTTCACTTTTACACGCACCGTGTACATTTCACCACCGTCTTCAAACGAAAACGGCAATTCAGAGCTTTCTCTTGACCATCAATCTGCGCTCCACTCGGTCTGCTGATTCTCTATACTTTCCTTATCCCGACAAAGTGGCCCGGAACTAAAATTTCACTGCTCGTTTTCCAAAAAATTAATTTTTTCCATGTAAACACGCGATGAGATTATATTCCTCTCGGAATGTCCGTCGGTTTCGAGAACGACCAAAAAATGGCAAAATCTCATATATGTACGTTGCTGTTGAAACAAATACGTACTTAAAGGTGAAACATTGTATCGCTTATAAAATTGCTATTGGAAGAGACATTTAATAATAGACATCGTTAATAGACATCATTTAATAACAGACATTTATAAATATCGTTTCACTCGTCAAAATCGTTGTCAGTGTAAACATTTAAGAATTAACATTTTTTAGATGAGCTCCCTTTAGAGAATCCCTTAAAAAACTTATTTAATATTTTCTTACATTCTTTCTTTAAAGAAACCACAATTTGCTACGATAAAAGCTCATATTATTATCTCAAAGTACTTTAACTATTCTTCTCTTTTGTCGAGATACAGGTTCTACACACCTATTTCATCCCTGTGGAGATCATATTTGGTTTATATTATATATAAACATTAAATATTTTGTGAACATTACTTCGGGACTTACTGTAGACACTGAATGAAGATAATTGGATGAAGTATAGTCAACTTTGAACAACGTAAGCTTCAACAAAATTATGGAACTGCGTGATTTTGTTGGTCAAACAAGACTTACTTTACTACATTTACCACTTTCAATGATGATTTTGACGATTTTTTTTCAAAACTTTACAATAGTAACAGCATTGTTTCTGCGAATGTTATTAGATCTAATTATTCTATCGCAACTACCTATTACACTATCATATGAGAATTTGAAATTCATCGTTACATACAATTTAAGATTAAATACACAACACAATTTATACAATCCAATTTAAAATTCCGGAATAATAAATTTACATTGGATTTGATTTTGATAACAATAGTACGTGAGAGAAAACGAAGTAGAAGAATTTGATTCGAAAAAGAGTGAATACAATATACAAAAGGACTCCTTTAATAACCTTTCCAACTAATCGACAAATCGTTCCCGCATCATCGACTTTCCGTTCAATCAACGACAACCTAATCCTGTTTACCAGATCAAGAAGAAGCAATTTCCGTGTGCACTTGAAGTGTGCCAATCGAGCATTAGTTCCGAGCCACAGTGCGAGATCCTCGGCATGCGATGCACGTGTCCTTGACCTAACCCCCGACGATCTAGTGTAACGCGTAGACCGGTGATATCCACGTGGGGATGCGCAGATTCCTTAGGGAACGCGGAGGCGTACATCTTCCTGGCGTTGACGATCGGTTTCGTGACGGTGGTGGTCGGCTGTTGGCTGTCGGACAACTGTTGGTCGCCGGAGCCAGAGGGGGTGGTCACCCTCGCATAGCCTAGTGCAGACTTCCGTTCGTCCAGGCGATAACAACTAGTAGGCGGGCCCTCCACCGGCAGTATACCGGACATCGTCCACTCGGAGGAGCGTAACGACGCCGGGAATCAGCGGCCGTTGCTCGACATCAACGACAACCACACGCTGCCGCCGATGATCTGACAGCGCGCGATCGTCTGGGCCGCGAAGTCCTTCGCGGCCGATAACAGGCCAACCGTTGGCCCCTGCTAAGCTATCGCAGGAACGCGCGATAACACCGATAACAGCAGCAACAGGGGGATGAAGGGAGTGGGGAGGGGGGGGGCGATAGGTGCGCCAACGATGCGGGCGATCCTAGCGTAAAAGCAAACGTTCATCGAAATATCGACATATCCGGTCGACGCGACGCAACAACACAACGCGAGCACGGTCCCGATCCGATCGTGAACGGGATGGACGACCGATCTCGCGTAGATCTGTATCGTTTATAGTTTTGTTCCGAGCTTTAGTTTCCTCGCGTCGCGCTCGAACGCATCCGCCACCGACTAATCGGCGCAAGACACCTGCTCGAATCGACGTGCAATCGGGAAGGTGATCTCGCGTGCCAGATGCTGTGCAGATACACACGCGTTCCTCGATTGCGGGCTATGCACCGGCCTGCACCGGCTCGCTGTCCGACAGGGGCCGATCTCTCGCGCGGTGTCCGTTCGATCCGCGACTTTCCAACCGTGAAAGCTAGACGAGCGTGGATTATCGGGTTAATTCGTTGGGCCGTCGAACTGCGCCGCGATGAAATATGAAAGTAGAGAGCCGCTTTGAAGCTCGTAGTTAGGCGAAAATCCGGAGTGGGTCAATAATTTTGTTTCGGGGCCCGCTGATGGATTTCGATCGGCGACGTTGTCGCGGGGTCCATCGCGCTGGAACGAGCACGATCAGCCACCGGAACACAGAGAACCCGTTCATACACACGCGCGCACGTCTGCATACGCGTGCACACGCGCGTGCATCGTCTACGATTCAACCTCTGTGTCCTGATCACCGGCTAATAATTTATACCGCTGCATCGGCGAGACGCGATGCAGCCCGCGTGAAGGACAATGGACGGCGAAGGCTCACATCTTCGAGTGTTACACCTGCTTTGCGTTCGTCTCCCCGACGTTGTACGGAATTGTTGTACGATAGTAAATGATCATTTAAAAAAAAAAAAGAAAGAAAGAAAGAACACATCGCCGAAGATACGTTTTCCTTCTAAATCAGGCGTGGGCGGAGTTGCGTGTGTTTTTCGGTTCTGCAGATTGTGGCAGCGGGTCGTGTCATGATAAGGGATCTCTTGGACGAGGTTCAACGGTGGTTTTCGACTTGGCAGTTGATGTGTCTGTGTGCGGACGATTGGCTTCCATACCTGAAAGATCAGATTCATACCCTTTATGTGCTGCGGCGTGAGCGAATTAGTATGCGAATTCGATTCTCTGATCGGTAAAAGTACAATAGACTCCCGTATAACGCGAGGTTGATAATGCTTGAGTGCTTGATGTATTGTGACACTATTTTCAACTTGTTCAAACTATAAAAGAAACGATTTATTTTTATCTAATTTCGGTTTCTTAGAATCGTCTTGGAAAATATGTATTTTGCACAAAGAGACTCGTAATCTAGTGTCTAATATTCAAGATTTTCATCAAATATTTTAAATTGAAGATTCGGTTTTACGGTTTTGTTTAACTAACTATGACTGTTTAACTAACTTTGAAATGATCTCTTTCTTTGAATTGATATTTATATTAACTACAACAGTATTCTTCGTGTTATAAGAGAGAAATGTTCGATTTCCTGTAACATTAGTTCATAGTACGCGTATACATTATCGCATAATACGGGAGTCTATTATGTATAGTTTGTATGGATTGTAAAGTCCGAGGTATGAAAGTCGCCACGTTGGAACAGGTTTCATGAATAATATTGCTTAATTGAATGTCGATTACATAATGTATCGAATAAGTAATACTGATTTGCAGATCAAAATATTTATTCCAAGCAGCCATTTGAAATTCGACTAACATGGAGAGGTTCCCAAATTTCACGCTCACTTTTTGATGAGATTTGGCACAGGTTTTATTTTGGCATAGGTTTCAAATAATTAATGTTAAAGTATTAAAGGAGATTACAGCGCGAGGGTTCAGGTAGGCCGGATCGAATCTCCCCACTCCTTAATATTTCTAATGCTATGTTGGTGTCGTATGCTTTCGCTCGCGTTACTGGGAACGATTCGGCTCCGACCGATGATGCCCGAACCGTGCGCCGATTGACATCGTACGTACGCTTCCTCATTCGGTCGGAGCCGAACCGTTTACGTAGGGATGGAGATTCTTGCATATCCTATTCATGCGTAGAGACCGAAACCGCCCGAGACTGTCCGAGACCACCCGAGAATCGAGCGCAGTCCCGAAGCTTTCGGGAGTCCCGAAACATTCGAGATCTCGAGAGACTCGAGCGGGTTTGCACACTCCTAGAATTTTGTTTTACATATATACGTGTACACGTGTAGTTAATATATCCGCATATTAACCTGTGTACTTATCAATGCACGGGTACACGAGTGCACGTGTAATTAATGCATCCATGTTTTAATTCGTTGAGGAAGTGTAGTAATAAGAATTGTTTAATTTCGCGAAGACACATAACAAAATTAATGCTATTATTTGCTGAGATAAAAAAAAAGTAAATATGGACGAGGAAATAAATTATAAAAAACGATTGCGAGTTATTTGGAAATATTTTTAATCGATTAATAATTTGTTTTTAGACAAAAAGAAACTACAGAATACATTTTCTGAACGAATTAAAACACGGATACATTAATTACACGTGCACTCATGTATCTGTGTGTTAAGAAGTAGGTATGTATTAACACAGGTTAATACACCGACATCCTTATGCGGAACGGTTTGGCTCCCCGACCGAATGAGCGAACGTACGTACGGCGTGAATCGGCGCACGGTTCGGGCATCATCGGTCGAAGCCGAGCCGTTCCCAGTGACGCGGCGAAAGGGTACCACACCAGCGCAGTATACTTGAAATATTAGGGAGTAGGGAAAGGTGGGGGAGGTTCGATCCGGCCTACGTGACCCTCGCGCCGGTAATCCAGCGCGTCTTAATCTGGCCTTTTATTAAGAACTTTAACATTAATTATCTCAAAAACTATAAGCCATCTACCCCGAAAACCGGGTATCGTTGGATTCAGCTTTACAAACTTTATTACTGTATCAAATCTCATCAAAAAGCGAGCGTCGATCATGGGGATCTCACCTTGTAAATAAATTCTCACCAATTATTTCTCAGCTTGTAAACAAAAACAGGCAATTTAGAAAGAGGAGATGCGATTATTCGAGCCTTGCGACTCGTTTTTACAATTGTTGACAATCGGCAAGTATAGAAATGAGCCGCGAAACTCGAATAATCGTATCTCCTCCTCCCAAATTATCCATTTTTGTTTACAAGCTGAGGAATAATTGGAATTTCCTATACTTGCAATCAGTATAATTTGAAGAATCACTGTTACGATTAGAACGACTACAATTAAGTGAATCTGACATTAGAGATTCAATTTCAGCATTGTGTAACACTTGGTTTACGGGTCTCGTCAAAATGACACGTTTCACATTCTTTAATTTACGATTATTGAGATTGTATGATTGAAAAACATACATCTATACACACAATTAATTCAATAAATTTGTTTCTTATGCATAAAGTAGAGGAGCCGGTTAATGTGGGTAATTAATTTAATTTAATTTTGGGTAATAATTTAACTTTATACATACCGAATAAGACACGTTAAATTTTTTTATTCAAAAATAATCAAAATAAGAGAATAAAAAATGTAATATATCCTATTCGATAAATATGAAGTTAATTATACCTGGAAACAAACCAAAGGCACAGCAACTGGCCATCTCACAGTAACCGGCTCCACTACACTATATTATGATAAAAATCGCTGAAAGCCTGAATAAATATATTTTTATAATTTTCATCGAGTAATATAAAATAGCTTGTTTGAATGCTCCGTGAACCTAGTGTTAATGCCGAATTGTTCGTCGTTGAATATCAGGGACAAAGGAGCCTCGAAAGAAAGTTTGTTTATTTGCCTCGCGGAAAATGCCGCAGCCCGGGGGGCATGAAGGATCAAGCGGGCCGCGTTGCGCCACATTGCAGCTTCCTAAGAATGATAGAGATATTCATGATTTCCTTATAGCCGCACTGAGGAACTTCTTCAGTCGAATATACGCTATAACGGGGAGAGAAGAGCCCAGAGCTCGCTCCACCGGAATCTGCATTATGTACGATTGTAGTGGCCTAAAAGTTTCCGCGACCCGCCGCCACAACCTGCGTAACCACGAGTTTCTACAAATTTTGCTTTCACTTAGATAGCGATAATTGTTTACCGACGGTGGATTACAGGGCATGACCCTGCTAACCGGCAGACCGAGGTCGCTTCGTTATTTGAAGCGTCACGCTCCGTGTTATTGTAAAAAATGATTAAGAAAAAAAAAATAGCGAAACAAAGAAGAAAAATAAGAAAAAACGAGATACCAGAAGAAAAAAGAAAGAAATGAGCGGATCGTTTGTAATTTTGTAAGATTTATAATACATGAATACTTTCTACACGGATAGTACTCACGAAACTGAAATCGTACGTCGTCGCCTCGCATTTGAAACTCGACCTTCGATCGGTGTTGCCGGAGCGGAACCGTGCATTTTCCATTAGGTCTGTAACAGCGGATTAACCGTAACAAATTCATGCACCTGCGTCACACTGCACACTGCGCGCCAGTGCATCGTGAAACCTCGATCGATAGACGAGATTTATAGTGTTCTTACATTTGCAACCGGTCTCTCTGGACGCTTTCGCAAATGGCCAACGGAATAATCAATTTCGAATTGACTACCCTTCGATAATTCTGTTCGAATAAAAATTGCTCAACTTTTCAATTTACACGGACCCCGTGTGTTACTACATTTATTTTCGCAAATCTGTCACGCACACGATTCATCCTTCCTCCCACCTCTTTTTTAAAACGGAGCTTTAAGTATGCGACTTGAGCGGCTCACGAAACCGAAGGAGAAATGCAAAATGTCAGTTGCTTGTATCTTTGTGTTGTTCAAATATATTTTCAGACCGATTAGACGTGATTGGACGCATCCAATGGAATGCACTGTCATTTGTTTCTTCCGATAACCTGTTTATGTAACGTCTGGCCGGATTTATTTCGCCCATGCCCGCACTATCTTCTCCTCTGCAACCGCATATCCGCAGGACAACCACTAAGAGCATATGAAGGATTTTACAATTCAGACACGTGTCTCGCATCGACATTCGCTGACGATAGTCAGCTCGAAATTCGCCTACAAAGTGGAGCTTAACTTGACGCGGGTCGCATCGCGCGGGGGCACAAATTAAACTCTGCTATGCGACCCCGTAGATGCATTCGTTTAACTGGAGCTATACTTTATAGGGACAGGTCGACGACGAAACACTGGTTTCATAATATTACCACCAAGAAATATCTAGCCTTAAAACACGAACCTCTTTCTTTTGCAATTATGTTTGCCGCTGTTCGCTATTTTGCTATAAAAAAAATGAAGAATATCGCGACATAGAAATTAATTACTTATTGCTCTTAGCAATAGGATAATGATTCACATTATTCTCCTTTTTCTTTTTTAAACACGTTGGGTTCTTCAGAATATTCTACCTTTGAGTAGAAGAAGCTTTTAATTGAACAGGACAGGGGAATTACTTGGTGCACACGACAGATGTTTCCAGGACGGCTACTAAGTCGAGAAGTATTAAATGAAAAGGACCTTCTTTACTTTGTCAAATAGAACGGCTTTTTAATTTTTATATTATAGTTTACACAGATTTTCATAGATTGATATACAGGGTGTCCTAAAAGTCATGCGCTATTGGGAAATGAGGGATTCCTGAGGTCATTTAAAGTAACTTTTTCCTTAGCGCAAATGCAATCCACGACGTTGTTTACGAGTTATTGACGAAAAACACTGACCAATGAGAGGCGAGTTCGGCTGGCGCGAGGCGGCCGAGCCAACCAGCGAACGAAGCCCGGTTCCGGTCGTTGGCACGGCCGCCACGAGCCAACTGATCTCGCCTCTTTTTCGTTAATAACTCGTAATCAAAGCCACGGACTGCAGGAACGCCTCATTTTCCGATTGCGAGTGACTTTCGGGACAACCTTTATAACGCTTTATGCAGCTCGCTTAGTCTCGAAACATCACTGCAGATGAATAAACTGCGCATCTTTATGGATTTTATGGATAAAACACATCGCGAGAGGTATAAACATATTCGCGGTGCGAATGTATGGGACGACCTAATAATATGGGAAAAGATTTTCGTGGAAGCGTAAGGGAACGGTAGCTTTTAATCGGGGCCTCGGAAAAAGACAGTATCGATTCCGGCACCGTGTGAATATCGCGATCGTGATTGAAACTCGTAGTTACCGAGTTTTATCCCGAATCCGAGCCACGAGGAAGAAACGGCAGGTTTTTTTTCCGCCATCTAACATTTCCGGGGCCGATGTAACCACGTTTTTCGTTTACGTCGATTAAATCGCAGGTGAGGGGAGAGGCGGCCGCGCCGCGGAAAAACTCCCGCGGCCGATAAAAATAATTTATTTGCCGGCTGCTCTCGAGAGTGAAATTTTTGCGGATCCATTTCATGGATGCTGGCTGCGAGAAACGATGAAATTTAGATGCACCGGCGCAGCACCAAGCTCCCATATCCGTGCGAGGTGCACGCGTACGCGCAAAAAAATAAACACATACACACACACATACACAATTACAACGCGATACATCGAATCTCCCGTGAACGGGATAAATTCGAAGGATTTTCTCCGTCGATGTAAAGTCGCATCAATACGTATGGCACCGGCTACAAACTACGTTGTTAGGAACAACACGTTACCGTTTGCTCATAACCTCCGAGAGATATACCGTCTGGCAAACAAGTCTCTGTAGACTGTTTAACATAAAATAGCTTCCTCCAGATTGAACCGAACGACCTTTTCTCAAGATTCGAAAGAATCTTGCCAAGTTCCAGTTATGGTAGAGGTATAATACACAATAATTGAGTTCTGCACGCTCAGCTTTTTGAATTCGGAAATCGAAATTCCTTTTATTTTGACTTTTCGTCGATGAAACTTTCATCGATTCGTCTTAAATTACAACGTATTCGTCTCAGTTTCCTGATTAAAATAATACTAAACACGATATAATTATAATATTATTTTTTTATTTTATATTATATTATAATATTATAATATTATAATATAATAATATTATAATATAATATATAATATTTATTATAATACTGTCTCTTATACACATCTAGATGTGTATAAGAGACAGTATTATAATAAATATTATATATTATATTATAATATTATAATATAATATATAATATTTATTATAATACTGTCTCTTATACACATCTAGATGTGTATAAGAGACAGTATTATAATAAATATTATATATTATATTATAATATTATAATATAATATATAATATTTATTATAATACTGTCTCTTATACACATCTAGATGTGTATAAGAGACAGTATTATAATAAATATTATATATTATATTATAATATTATAATATAATATATAATATTTATTATAATACTGTCTCTTATACACATCTAGATGTGTATAAGAGACAGTATTATAATAAATATTATATATTATATTATAATATTATAATATAATATATAATATTTATTATAATACTGTCTCTTATACACATCTAGATGTGTATAAGAGACAGTATTATAATAAATATTATATATTATATTATAATATTATAATATAATATATAATATTTATTATAATACATATTATAATATAATATAAATATATATATTATAATATAATATAAATATATATATTATAATAAATATTATATATATATTATAATACTGCAGTTTACTGGACGATGCGTAGAACATTTTTTCAAGAAGCTACAATTGATCGGAATTACAAGATCGGATTACAACTTTTTATGTTTTGTAAATTCGCTCGGAAATAAATCTTGTCATACTTTATTTCACTTGTCTTTTTAACATTTTGGCAAGTATAGTTCACATTTTAAGACATAAATCAAAATTTTCGAGAATGTGACTTACGCTAGTACAATCCGCGCAATCTAACACATATCTAACCAACTCAACTATTCCCAACTAATTCACACGATTCAAGGAAGAACAAAATTTGATTCGGTTCTTATTTCCGAATATTTTTATTTTCCATAATGATACACGGTCTAAAGATTCTTACATCTTTCAATGTTTCTGCCTGTACGTA